TTGGTAGCCCAGGTTGGCCTCGAACTCACAGAGATCCGCCTGGCTCTGCCTCCCGAGTGCTGGGATTAAAGGCGTGCGCCACCACCTCCCGGCTGTGTGTAAAGGTTTGTTACTTTTTGTTTATGCTACATTTGTTTAATGATATAAGGATGTGTGTTTAATTTTGTAACAATATGGTGCAGCTCTTTACCCTCCTCACTAAAGCACCTGATGGCCTAATGAGGAGCCGAACAGCCAATAGCTAGGCAGAGAAAGGATAGGCAGGGCTGGTGGGCAGAAAGAATAAACAGGAGGAGAAATCTAGGTTCCAAAGAAGAAAGAAAAGTGGTGAAAAGGAGAGAGAGGGAGATGTCACGGACCAGCCACCTAGCCACACAGCCAGCTACAAAGTAAAAAAGGCATATAGAATAAAGAAATGTAAAAACCCCAGAGGCAAAATATATAAGAAGAGAAACAGGATAATTTAAGTTAGAAAAGCTGGCTATGAATAAGCTAAACTATGGCTGGGAATTTACAACTAATAAGAAGTCTTTGTTTTATGATTTGGGATCTGGTTGGTGCCCTGCCACCCAAAAGCCTGGTACAATAATGGTTCACTTTCCCCACTAAGATCCAGACAATGCTTGTGAATATTCTCAGGAAAATTTATTACAATTATAGCCTTATTACTCCTTTTGTGTATTTTACATATACCTCCAACTTCATATTTCAAGCTTCCAAATCCAGTCAAATAGACCTCCCATTATCACCCTAGCCACCTTCTCTTATAGATATAGTTTAATCTCTTTAGGAAGTATTCTTGTGCAGGTGTCTAATGCAAATCTATCTAGTATCTCTGAGCTCAGTAACTGATCCACTGCAGGTGGGTAGGTCTAGCTAGAGAAAACAAAGGTTAACTTGCTTTGTTGGTAATTGGAACATTATCTAAAGAATCTCCAGGCAGCTTATACTGACACACAGGCTGATTATGCTGACTACACACACATGCACAAACACACACGTATAGATACATACAGATAATTTTGCTTATTTTGAAATAGTCAGTAAATTCCTGTTGAAATCTACATTTTTTTATGTGTTGTATAGAAAGCTTTGAATCAGAAAAAAATTTCAGTAAGTGCATTTCTGCTTTTGTATACCTTGTCATGATGGTTAGTCTCATCAGTTTGTTGGGATTGAAAGTTGCCTTAGAGATGAATAAAAACAGACTTCTTGGTGTGCATCTGTCTGTGCTTTTCCAGAGATGATTAACTAAGCAAGGAAGACAGACCCTCTCTGAACAAGCTGGCATCATCAAGTCATGGGGAGATCCAGATGGAAGGAAGGGGAAGGACTCACAGGTACAGATATCATGCTCTCTGCCTGTTTCCACCATCTACCTCATCACAGGCTTACAGCAATGGAACTTCTGAAATCCTGAGGAAAAAATAAAACTTTTAAGCTGTTTCAGCTGTTTGTCAGAGTGATGGCATGTCTAATACACTTGCTTGAATGGATCCTTCTTGTAATAATATTCTTAAATCATTTATTGACCTTCAAGTTTTTAAAAGTACACCATTAGTATACCAAAATGTAATGTGCAT